CTAGAGTGCTAGGATTACAGGCGTGAGCCACCGCGCCCAGCCTTAAGTAGCTTTAAATAAAGGTACAGTTTAAGAAATGTAGCCTTTTCCCTCTAAAGTCCCAGTTTTTAAAAGAAAAGATACCTGTACACAAATCTGTTAGATAGTATGAAAGAAAGCTCTTAATAAACAAATCATTCAAAAGCTCTATATTGAGGTATATATAATACATATAAGCCATTTTGTAGGAGTGGATGATGTTTCAGGCTTTGTGCTAAGTAAGATTCAGAAATCTTAACTTATTTACTGTAATATAAAGACTTACATTGTTTCTCATTGTCAACCTGAAGTGGTCAAGTAGAATTCATCATTTATTTCTTCATAGGTTTGACGCCATAGCTTTTGGAGAAAGTCAAAGTGAGGATGAACAATTTGAAAATGACTTAGAGACAGATCCACCCAATTGGCAGCAGCTTGTTAGTAGAGAAGTGTTATTGGGACTAAAACCTTGTGAGATCAAAAGACAGGAAGTGATTAATGGTGAGTTTAATCAATTTGTTCTTGTTGTTGTTGACATCTATTGAGTTTTATCAGAGTAAAGCAAACCCCTTAGCCTTGGTGTTTGCTTCAGAGTTTCTCCTGGCCTTTTGTTTTAAACAAAGAGGAAATTTAACCTAGATAGATCCTTGAACTCTACAACTCAAAAAAATGCAAATGATTCTATGATTTGTACTGATAATTTAGAAGGAAAAGGTGTTTAGCCTTCAAACTGTTTAAGATTCATAGCAGCATAGATCTTAAAGTCGAAAAATCATTGACACAACATTTGTGCCATCACTTTACTTTCAGGTGAATGATTTTTATGTATAGATTATAAATGAGGAAGCTAAGGCCTAGGGAGATTAATGGAGTTCATCAAGATCATACATCTGATAAGTGACAAGGGAAAAACCAGATCCAGGTTTTCCTGTACCCTAAGCAGTGTTCTTTATTTACCCTAGCATGTATGTGTCAGGCATGTGGCATGAATGTCGTAGCCTCTACTATCCTTAGGATGTGATTTGAATAAATACCAGATTTCTGACAACATTGAGACATAGTGAAATTATAAGTCTGGCTCCAGAAATGAGGGTTTATAGGTAAGTTAGATAACCAAAGTTCTATTATTTCTGAAGAGGGCTCAAGTTAAAGGATATATGTTGTTGTGGCTTACAATTTTCTAATATTGTAGTTGTGATAGTGTGTATTATTGTAAACAGATGGATGAGTTTGGGGGTATTCTGTTAACTTTTAAGTATAAAATAGTTTTGAATATTTTTCATTTGTCAGTATTCAACTCTTAGAGCCAGTATGTAGGAGAATTGCATGGAATCAAAGTGACCTCAGAGACATTTCATCCTTTGTAAATGATAATTTCTTATATAATTCATTTGCTGCCTGATTCCAGTTAATGACTGTGTTTGGTCCCATGGAATTATTCTAAGGCAACATTCGTATCTCCTTTTTTTTCTGCTTAGAATTGTTTTACACTGAAAGAGCTCATGTTCGAACACTGAAGGTTCTTGATCAAGTGTTCTATCAGCGAGTGTCCAGAGAAGGAATTCTGTCACCTTCAGAACTACGGAAAATTTTTTCAAACTTGGAAGATATTCTTCAACTTCATAGTAAGAGAAATTGGCTCTGATCTTTATGCCTAACGTTTCCAATAGAGAAAAGATAGTGAGTATAAAGGTACCCATAGAGGTGCCTTTATAAAATTTTTCTAAGTTTCTGAAATTATGAATGAGAGTGTAACATAAATAAATGATTGTAGCTTTGACTAGATCCTTTTCCCCCACAATCAGCCTTTCATATACAAAGTGTCAACATAGGGCTTCAGGTCTAAAGTCAGTGCCTAAGGTGAAAAACATGAATAGTTAAAATTACCCTTGAGAATTTCCTATCAATTACTGTATATATGTTTTGAAAAATATATATTCCA